ATCTCAAACAAAACTCTTGCATGCTCGCTATCATTTTCCCCCTTTCATCTGCTGTACGCACGTCACGCTTAATCGATCATGGATAAGGTTTATCGATTAAAAGGCTCATTGACAATTAATCGATCGTCAATTAATCGTTGACATCCCTACTCTAGACTCATTCTTCCCACTGCTTTGTTTTCTAGCAATAGTTGATGTATTTAACAGTAGCATACAAGAAAGAATTTAAATGAACAAATATAAAAAATAAAACACTACATATACTTATTAAATCTACTATTAAAGTTCTCACAAGACTCTTATTTTCACAGCACCCATTCACTGCAGAGGATCCATTGGTGAGTAAATGATGTAATGCTAAATTTCTCAAAATCTGTTACAAATTATGAAACAAACTAATCTACATCTTGGATGGTTTGATGTTGAGTACATTTTCAGCAAGTTTTAATAAATGTTTTACAATTTTAGGAATCAAGCAGGGAGGCAACAACATCAACAAGGAATGACAGTGGAGTCAATCAACAAATCTTGGCCGATATATAAGAGAGATTAAGAGTGTTCTTGTGGAAACTCTAACACTTTTAAAAAATGGTAAACCTATGAAAAGTTAAATTTTTCTAAGTAATTGCTTCAAAAGATATTAAAACCTATTTTGTTCTTTGATGCACTCCATTAATGACTGCACCTGCCCACACTCTCCCTGCCTGCACTTCGGATTTGCCAGCCCCAGAGTCTTCCCCTGTGGTACCTGCCCCGCCTCTTCATGTAAAGGAGACTAGGAGTAATAATGACTGCAAAAAGGTATCTGTCACAGTCCTCCGTCTGCACCAGTCTGTCTTGTCTTCAGCACTACACTTCCCAGGATCCTCTCGTCACCCTGTCCCGTGTTCACTCCCTCATCAGCCACCTGTTCCTCGTCATCATCATCTGTTTCACCTGTTCTCACCCCATTATGTTTGATTATTCTGTGTATTTAGTTCCCTCTGTTTTACTCAATGGTTGTCGGTCGATGTTGTATGTTACCCTGCCTTCCAGCCTGTATTCCTATTAAATGTTACCTTCATTGTGAATCTGGACTCCTCCCGTTCCTTCCGCCTGCACTCCTGCATTCCTGAACCTTACCCCGTGACAGATCGACCGACCAGTCAGTGACAACATGGGAATCTTCCTAACCCCGGCTCTCACCACCATCAACCTTTTCCAGGACGGACGAACTTGTAAGGAGTACGTCGTCGGGTTCCTGGAGCTCTCTGCTGGGGTAAGTTGGTCGGATGACGTTCTAAAGTCAGTCTTTTGGCTGGGTTTGGACGATCATCTGTACCGGCAAGCCCCAGCAGCAGCGTTTCCAGGAACCTTCGCCGGATACCTGGATCATGTGTTGTGGTTTAGTGGGTCAGCCTTCACCGTTGGGGAGGCTGAAGATGACAGCGCCACTCAACCACACACACCCACCATCATCCCCACCCCTGCCGTCATCACCTACCGGTCAGAGCCCTCTTCACCGCTGGTTCCGTCCAGCCCCATCCAGCCCGCGCCAGTGACCGTCCAGTCAGCGCCAGTGACCGTCCCGCCAGCGCCAGAGACCAACCAGCCAGAGACCGTCCAGACCGTCCAGCGAGAGACCGTCCAGACCGTCCGGCGAGAGACCGTCCAGACTGTCCAGCGAGAGACCGTCCAGACCGTCCAGCGAGAGACCGTCCAGACCGTCCAGCGAGAGACCGTCCAGACCGTCCAGCCAGAGACCGTCCAGCCAGAGACCGTCCAGACCGTCCAGCCAGAGACCGTCCAGACCGTCCAGCCAGAGACCGTCCAGACCGTCCCGCCAGAGACCGTCCAGTCTGAGCCCTCACTGCTGGTTCCGTCCAGCTCTCCAGAGACTGAATGCTCTTCACCGCTGGTTTCGTCCAGCTCTCCAGAGACTGAATGCTCTTCACCGCTGGTTCCGTCCAGCTCTCCAGAGACTGAATGCTCTTCACCGCTGGTTCCGTCCAGCTCTCCAGAGACTGAATGCTCTTCACTGCTGGTTCCGTCCAGCTCTTCAGAGACTGAATGCCCTTCACTGCTGGTTCCGTCCAGCTCTCCAGAGACTGAATGCTCTTCACCGCTGGTTCCGTCCAGCTCTCCAGAGACTGAATGCTCTTCCCCGCTGGTTCCGTCCAGCTCTCCAGAGACAGTATGCTCTTCACTGCTGGTTCCGTCCAGCTCTCCAGAGATTGAATGCTCTTCACCGCTGGTTCCGTCCAGCTCTCCAGAGACTGTATGCTCTTCACCGCTGGTTCCGTCCAGCTCTCCAGAGACTGTATGCTCTTCACCGCTGGTTCCGTCCAGCTCTCCAGAGACTGAATGCTCTTCACCGCTGGTTCCGTCCAGCTCTCCAGAGACTGAATGCTCTTCACTGCTGGGTCCGTCCAGCTCTCCAGAGACTAAATGCTCTCCACTGCTGGTTCCGTCCAGCCCACCCGAGACTGTAAGCTCTTCACTGCTGGTTCCGCCCAGCCCACCAGAGACTGTATGCTCTTCACTGCTGGTTCCGTCCAACCCACCAGAGACTGAATGCTCTTCACTGCTGGTTCCGTCCAGCTCACCAGAGACTGAATGCTCTTCACTGCTGGTTCCGTCCAGCTCACCAGAGAATGAATGCTCTTCACTGCTGGTTCCGTCCAGCTCACCAGAGACTGAATGCTCTTCACTGCTGGTTCCGTCCAGCTCACCAGAGAATGAATGCTCTTCACTGCTGGTTCCGTCCAGTTCACCAGAGAATGAATGCTCTTCACTGCTGGTTCCGTCCAGTCCCCCAGAGACTGAATGCTCTTCACTGCTGGTTCCGTCCAGCTCTCCAGAGACTGTATGCTCTTCACTGCTGGTTCCGTCCAGCGCTCCAGAGACTGTATGCTCTTCACTGCTGGTTCCGTCCAGCTCACCAGAGACTGAATGCTCTTCACTGCTGGTTCCGTCCAACCCACCAGAGACTGAATGCTCTTCACTGCTGGTTCCGTCCAGCTCTCCAGAGACTGTATGCTCTTCACTGCTGGGTCCGTCCAGCTCACCAGAGAATGAATGCTCTTCACTGCTGGTTCTGTCCAGCTCACCAGAGGATGAATGCTCTTCACTGCTGGTTCCGTCCAGCCCACCAGAGACTGAATGCTCTTCACTGCTGGTTCCGTCCAGCCCTCCAGAGACTGAATGCTCTTCACTGCTGGTTCCGTCCAGTCCTCCAGAGACTGTATGCTCATCACTGCTGGTTCCGTCCAGCCATCCAGAGACTGAACGCTCTTCACTGCTGGCTCCGTCCAGCCATCCAGAGACTGAATGCTCTTCACTGCTGGTTCCGTCCAGCCCTCCAGAGACTGAATGCTCTTCACTGCTGGTTCCGTCCAGCCCTCCAGAGACTGTATGCCCTTTCTCTACTGGTTCCGTCCAGCCATCCAGAGACTGAATGCTCTTCACTGCTGGTTCCGTCCAGCTCTCCAGAGACTGTATGCTCTTCACTGCTGGTTCCGTCCAGCCCTCCAGAGACTGTATGCTCTTCACTGCTGGTTCCGTCCAGCCACCCAGAGACTGTATGCTCATCACTGCTGGTTCCGTCCAGCCCTCCAGAGACTGAACGCTCTTCACTGCTGGTTCCGTCCAGTTCCTCCGAGCCCGAGCTCTCTTCTTCGCTGGGCCCGACCAGCCCAGCCCCAGAGACCGTCCAGCCAGCGCCAGAGACCGCTCAGCCTGCTCCGCCCTGGCCACGCCCTCAGCCTGCTCCGCCCTGGCCACGCCCTCAGTCTGCTTCGCCCTGGTCTCGCCCTCAGCCTGCTCCGACCTGGCCACACCCTCAGCCTGTTCCGCCCTGGCCACGCCCTCAGCCTGCTCCGCCCTGGCCACGCCCTCAGCCTGCTCCGCCCTGGCCACGCCCTCAGCCTGCTTCGCCCTGGTCTCGCCCTCAGCCTGCTTCGCCCTGGCCACGCCATCAGCCTGCTCCGCCCTGGCCACGCCCTCAGCCTGCTCCGCCCTGGCCACGCCCTCAGCCTGCTCCGCCCTGGCCACGCCCTCAGCCTGCTCCGCCCTGGCCACGCCCTCAGCCTGCTTCGCCCTGGTCTCGCCCTCAGCCTGTTCCGCCCTGGCCACGCCCTCAGCCTGCTCCGCCCTGGCCACGCCCCTCTCAGGCCCCAGTTCGTCCCCCCTCCTTCCTCTGTTCCACGGCGTGAGGTCACGCCTCCCGGGAGGGGGGAGTTCTGTCACAGTCCTCCGTCTGCACCAGTCTGTCTTGTCTTCAGCACTACACTTCCCAGGATCCTCTCGTCACCCTATCCCGTGTTCACTCCCTCATCAGCCACCTGTTCCTCGTCATCATCATCTGTTTCACCTGTTCTCACCCCATTATGTTTGATTATTCTGTGTATTTAGTTCCCTCTGTTTTACTCAATGGTTGTCGGTCGATGTTGTATGTTACCCTGCCTTCCAGCCTGTATTCCTATTAAATGTTACCTTCATTGTGAATCTGGACTCCTCCCGTTCCTTCCGCCTGCACTCCTGCATTCCTGAACCTTACCCCGTGACAGTATCGTTTTAAGCAAAATTCAAAATGCCTTCTTACTAGGGCTGCATGGTTTGGTCAAAAATTTATATTATGATTCAGTGTTTCCCACTGGAGTTTATATATTAAAAAAAAAAAAAAAAAGTAACCGGTGTGTATTAATCATTTTTATAATCATCTGTATGTTATTTGAAATATTTAACGAATATTGTGCTCTTCACAATCTGACGGCCTAATATCATTTTACAGTGTGTTTCTGATTTCGCGCACTTTTGGGTCCTTTTCGATGCAGATGTGAAGGAGTGGTGTCGTCGTGCCTGATCAATCCAGCTTTAAAAAAAAAAAAAAAAAGTAACCGGTGTGTATTAATCATTTTTATAATCATCTGTATGTTATTTGAAATATTTAATGAATATTGTGCTCTTCATAATCTGACGGCCTAATATCATTTTACAGTGTGTTTCTGATTTCGCGCACTTTTAGGTCCTTTTCGATGCAGATGGGAAGGAGTGGTGTCGTCGTGCCTGATCAATCCAGCTTTTTCTTTAAAAAAAAATAACCGGTGTGTATTAATCATTTTTTATAATCATCTGTATGTTATTTGAAATATATTTAACGAATGTTGTGCTCTTCACAATCTGACGGCCTAATATCATTTTACAGTGTGTTTCTGATTTCGCGCACTTTTGGGTCCTTTTTGATGCTGATGTGAAGGAGTGGTGTCCTCGTCTGATCAATCCATCTTTTCTCTAAAATAAACGGTGTGTATTAATCATTTTTATACTCGTCTGTATGTTATTTGAAATAATTAACGAATATTGTTTTCTTCACAAACTGACGGCCTTATTTCATTTCACAGTGTGTTACTGATTTCGCGCACTTTTGGGTCCTTTTTGATGCTGATGTGAAGGAGTGATGTCCTGTCTGATTAATCCATCTTTTCTCTAAAATAACCGGTGTGTATTAATCATTTTTATAATCGTCTGTATGTTATTTTGAAATATTTAACGAATATTGTGTTCTTCAGAAACTGACGGCTTTATTTCATTTCACAGTGTGTTACTGATTTCGCGCACTTTTGGGTCCTTTTCGATGCTGATGTGAAGGAGTGGTGTCCCTGTCTGATCAATCCATCTTTTCTCTAAAATAAACGGTGTGTATTAATCATTTTTATAATCGTCTGTATGTTATTTTGAAATATTTAACGAATATTGTGTTCTTCACAAACTGACAGCTTTATTTCATTTCACAGTGTGTTACTGATTTCGCGCACTTTTGGGTCCTTTTCGATGCTGATGTGAAGGAGTGGTGTCCTGTCTGATCAATCCATCTTTTCTTTAAAATAACCAGTGGGTATTAATCACTTTTAGAATCGACTGCATGTTATTTGTCATGTGAATTTGTTAAGCGTTTTATGGGGAAAAAATAGCGTTGTATTCCTAAAATGTTCTAGTAGCATGTTACTGATTTTCTGCACTTTTGATTGAAAAAAATATCAGTATAAAAATGGCCTAAATTGTTGGAAAAAAAATGTTTTCACAGTGAATTAGTCCAGCAAATGCAGTGCAGATATTGTAAATTTTCTAACTCTGACCCAGAAGTCCTGGTAAAGCATTACAGGCTTCGTCATGGACAAGGTCATAAAGGAACTAATTGGCCTTGCCTATATTCAGATTGTGTCTGCTCTTTCCGGACACAAAGTGCTTTAAAATCACATTTGTCACGCTGCCACACCTGCAGAACAATTAGGCAAGTCATTTTAACATTTAAATGTGATCTGTGTGAATTTGAAAATGTTTGCAGTGAAACCATATTTTTTAGACATCTTAATGGACATCTAAAAAGGCATGAAACTGTACAGTGTCCTTTTTCTGGATGTGAGTATAAAACCAACAGGCTTTCCAATTTTGCCTCTCACAGGACAAGGAAACACAAAACGTATACAACAAAAGATTTAAGAAACTCTGTCATAACTGAAACTGAGAACATTAACACTGATACAACACTGAACTTTGATGATAATGATGACCATGATGCTGGTCAGTCCTCACAGGTTGTTCAAGAGTCTACTGACTCTGGTTGTGAAAGTGTGGATATTGAAACTCTTGAACATAAACTGGCTTCTGTATTCTTGAAAATGCAAACAGTCTTGCATATATCTAAGAGTGCCATACATAACATAGTTGAGGAAATTCATGATATATTGCACTTTTCCAAGTCTCTTGCTGTTGAAAGCATCAGAAATATCTTGGTCAAACGAAAAATTGATGTAGATAATTCTATTCTCCAGGAAATTAACAGTGCTATTTTTGAGACCAATCCTCTTCTGCTGACTACTTCAGAAAAAGGCAGTTTATCCACAGACCATAGAAGGAATGCGTATTTCAAAGAACACTCTGTTGGCTCTGTAATTGAGCCAACAGAGTATCTCTATGACAGGACACACAAAAATCACTTTGTTTATGTGTCTTTATATCATGTTCTGGAGCGCTTACTAGGTCATAAAGATTTGTTGGATAAGATTGTGTTCAGTGGAGAGTCTACTCCTGGACATTTTGAGTCTTTTCAAGATGGTGCTTACTTTTAACCGACTTCTAGGTGACAAAGACCTTGCAATATCTTTGGGACTATATGTTGATGAATTTGAAGTGTGCAATCCCTTGGGCACTTCGAGAAAAATCCATAAGATTGTTGCCATTTATTGGGTGGTTCTAAACTTGCCTTCCAAATTCCGCTCTAGTCTTTACTCAATTCAGCTTGCGGTCCTTGGTAAGAGTGATGATGTTCGCCTCTTTGGATATGAGAAATTTTTGGATCCACTGATGAAAGATGTGAAGTGTTTGGAGCAAACAGGTGTTTTTGTGCCTGCTCTGAATCAGTACGTGAAGGGGACAGTCTTTTGCGTTTGTGCTGACAATTTAGGCGCTCATAGCTTGGCAGGCTTTCAAGAAAGCTTCAATTCTGACAAACTGTGCAGATTTTGTTTGATCAGTAAGCATGAATTCAAGTCTGGTCAGGTTGAGATCAGTGATTTCAAACTAAGAACTGTAGAAGAACACAATTCTTTTGTCCTGGAAGCGCAGACAGATGGAAGTTTGCAAAATGTCAACGGTGTGAAGAGGGAATGTGTGCTAAGCAAGCACCTGTCTTTCTTTCATCCTGTCACTGGTTTCCCTCCTGATGCATTACATGACTTTTTGGAAGGCGTTGTACCTGTAGAATTGTCTTTGTGCCTGAAAGATTTAATTTCAAAAAGAAACATTTCATTTGATGAGCTCAATCACTGCATTAAGTCCTTTCCGTACAAAGATTCAGACAAGGTCAACAAGCCAAAGGTCTTAACCAAGTCAAGTTTCACCAAAGGTACAATAGGTGGTAATGCACACGAGAACTGGACACTTTTACGTTTGCTACCTCTTATGATCGGTCACAAAATTCCTGAAAATGAACCAGCTTGGGAGATTCTAATGGACCTGAAGGTCATTGTTGAGTTAGTTCTATCGTCAAAATGTTCAGAGGAGTCTCTTTGTTACCTAGAGAACAAAATCAAAGTCCACCAAAACTTGCTGACTGAAACCTTTGCCAACTTTTCTCGTCCAAAACATCATTTCATTAACCATTACCCTCATTTGATTCGTTGTTTTGGACCACTAGTGTCCCTATGGACAATGCGCTTCGAGGCTAAGCACAGCTACTTTAAAAAAGTAGTCCATGACACTCAGAACTTTAAGAATGTTCTACTGACACTTTCCATGAAGCATCAACAAATGATGGCTTATTATCTTGATGGTGAGGACTTTTTCAAACAATCACTACATGTGGAGAAAGCAAAGGTGTTCACACTTGCTTCTCTTGAAGCCCCAGTTATGTCAGCAATTGAGAGAAGGTATCCAAACACAAGCCAAGTGTCTCTCTCCTCCACTATTCATTTGCATGGAGTTCGATATTCAGCTGGCATGATTATCTCTGCAGGACAATGTAGTGGCTTGCCAGAGTTTTTTAAAATACTGAACTCTGTAGTGTCTCCCAAAGATGTGTCATTCCTTTGTAAAAAACTGTCTGCCTGGTATCTTGAACACTTCAGGTCCTTTGAGATAAAGGAAAACAGTTTTAGTGATATTCATGTTCTTGATCCTGACATGCTGAATGATTTCCATCCATTAACAGCATACAAAGTTGGTATGAAAGTGCTTGTGACTCCAAAAGTGTTTTAACTCATTAGGAGAGTTGACAGTTGTGTGTTCTGTACACACTAGAATATAGTCACATAGGTTCCCAATATTGCTGTTAAGAATAATAATAATAAAAAATGTGTCCCAGTGAATTAATGATGACTGCTTTTGACTCTAAGTTCTGCTTTCTATATAGAGCATGTTGCTTCGGGTTCACATTTCTTCTACCAACATCAGGAGGGTAGAGCTGCCTAAAAGGCCTGAGTCTGTGGACGATTTGAAGTCTTTCCTTGGCGAGAAATTGCAGCTGAAATCTGGATTTTCTCTACAATTTGAAGACCCAGACTTTAACAATGAACTTTGTAACTTGAATGACATCCAAGAATTGCCAGCAGCAAAGGCAACCTTAAAGATTCTGTGGGAAGAAGCATCTCCTGCACTAACCGATGCAAGTTCAGTGTCCTCACTTGATACAGCAAGCATGACAAGTTGTCAAAGTGATGTCCAAATCCCTGAAACATCTGTGTCAAGAAATCTCAGAAGTGTTGAACAGTGGCCCTCTACTTTTAACATACCTGCTTTTTCTCTTGATGTGGAACTCAGGCTGCGTAAAGCCAATGAGATATACCAACAGACAAAGAAGCCTCTGAGTGTACCCAGGGATATGAAGTGTGAGATTCTGGACAAGATTGCGCAGGCAATTTTTGAAATTAAAGCCTACCCCGATGCCTATGAGATCCAGTCAGTTGCCTCTGCTCTAGTAGAAAAACATCCTTGCCTTAAAGAACCTGGCAAACGCACAGGCTGGGATGGATGGATTATGAGTATAAAGTTTAAGCTTAGCAATTATCGAGCTAAATTGAGAGAGGCTGGTTGTTCAGAAGTTAGTGTTAACACAAAAAGGAAATCACATGAGAGTATGATGGCCACCATTAAAAAGCCTAAAAGAGCAGAGGTGAACTTTTTACCAGACCATCCTGATGGCCAAACAGATGATTCACTTGAGGAGGTGAGACTTGATATGGTCGACGAAATGAAAAAAAAAAAGGATTGATTCGGCGCTCATTCAACTGAAAATGCAAGAAACATTTTCTCTTCGCCGCAAAGAAGTTGTAGAGATTCAGCCACTAGTTAAGGAGGTCAGAGAGAGATGGCCTGCACTTTTTCTCAAGGATGAGGTAAACCATTTAATAACAAATGTTGTTACCTGTGTTCTTCAGATTTCTTATTTTAGTCTTAATGAATTTCTATTATTTTAATTATAATTACTATTAGAAATTTTGAATATTTTAGTTGTATTGGCAACATTTTCTGGTGATTACTATTAATGTTTTTTTTATATTATTCTTTATTTTTAAACGTACAGTATTTACTTTTGGCCACCAGGGGTCACTCGTTTAAAATAATAACAAAAGACGTACTTTGATGACGTCGGGAAAGAGCGTGGGCTCACGGGAGTTGTTGTCGCTGTCAATGACAACCAGCTCAGCTCATGACATGACATCATCGTTTCACAAAATATACGGATATACGGCATCTCTCTGTAGATTTAGCTTGTCAAGAAGCTTTAAATGCAACCCCAATGTTTACCTGTGTCATGCTTCTCCTGTCCCAAACCCTTCTCGGGTCATATTTTTCAGGTACGTTTGAGCTTTAGCTAATGAGCTGGCTGTAGCAGCAGAACGTGCAGGCAAAGCGTAATCGTGGTCCATAACTATTATACAGACGAATATAAATATTAATATTACACTACTTCAATGAATGACCTATTTTAGAACATTTTTCATATATAGAGCGCACCGGATTATAAAGCACATAAGATACTGCAGTCAAACGTTTGACTGGGTTTGCGTTATTCATACACTATGTGCTAAAGGCTAAAGGGAATGTAGTGAGTGCGCGGCGCCGGAGGTGAGGCGTTTATTTAGTAAGCATGAGAGAGCTGAAGCGGGCACGTACATTCGCAGCCTGACTCATAAGAGTATTCAATGTGCGCGGCTCGCTAACAGCAACAGTTGGCTGATTTGAATGAGACGACCCGGTTACTGTGAACGGGGAGCGCTTTATGCGCGAGCAGCACCGGTGACAGTGTGTCTGTTAAGAGTGAGCGCTCGTGAGCGGGCACGTGATTTACACACATAAAAATACGTACTACTTTTTTTTCTTCGTCATTTTCTTTGCTTTATTGGCGGTAGTCCAGTGTTCCCCTTTGTGTTTGGCGGTTTCGCCGGGTTCCGCAAGGAAGTTAGAGAAAATAGAGGAGTCAAAGGTTATATGACGCCATAGACGGGCGACGAAACGGAAATAAAGAAACGTCCCGTGTCTTCGAATTAAACTATAAATTTCTCCGTATTTGAAATTTGGTGGAAACTGTCGGGATAATGTAAGTACATATCTAACAGAAATATATAACATAGATACAGTTATTTTTGCTATTTTTAATGCAGAAAAAATACATATTGTGGCTTTAAATATATAGATCTGCATGGAGTTTTTTCGTATCAGCAACGTCGACCTCCTGGGGAAGTTCTACACGTCCCTCGAAAAATACACAACACCTCTCTTGAAGCTGTACAGAAAGAGAACAGATGCATTTGGAGAAGAAATGAAGATTCTCTTGGACAAGTTAGATGAACAGGTACTTATTCTTTAATATATTCCAAATACTGCAGCACTGGTATTTACAGCTTTCTTAATAGGCCCATTGATGCAATTTTGTGTATTTTTTATGTGTTGGGTTTAACATAACAGTAAAACATAATAACATCAATTGATGTTGGACTGAACACACATGATTGACACATAACAGTAAACCCCAAAACATCAAGTGAACTTGGTACTTTTAGTAATAAGTTCAAGTAAAATTTTAATTGCCCAGATAGCAAACTGACATTGAATCAACGTGGAAACAACGTCTCTCATGACATTGAAACAACGTTGATTTTGCTCATCGAATTAACGTTGAACCAACGTCAGACGCGGCATTCTTCAAAGCTAAATGAAAATCGAAAATTGGTTTGCTTTCATAACGTTGAAACAACGCGTTGATTTCAAGTTGATTTTCCGTTAGTTTTGAAAGAATGACGCGTCTGACGTTGGTTCAACGTTAATTCGATGAGCAAAACAATGTCAGATCAACGTTGTTTCGATGTCATATTTCCACGTTGATTCAATGTCAGTTTGCTATCTGGGTGTTCACCCTGAAATTATTCTGTAATCTTTTTCTTACTCATGTGTTGTCCTAAACCATTATGTCTTCCTTCATGCTGCAGAACCTAAAAGAAGAAATTTAGCAAGAAAGAAATTTAAGTCATTTATAGTGACATTTGATAGTTACCATTTTTCAAGGCCTTTTTGCATTCATTCAGAGTGGTGGCGGAATACCATAAAAAGTGCTTTAGAGCACTTCAACTTGGCGCAATAATACCTTCACTCGTGAAAAGTCCTCTTACCGGCTCCCGCTTTGTCGCATGTCACGTTGGCTGGATTGACGGAAATAAGAGGGAGGGGGAGAGAGAGCGAGGAAGCGGGAGCCGGTAAGAGGACTTTTCACGAGTGAAGGTATTATTGCGCCAAGTTGAAGTGCTCTAAAGCACTTTTTTATGGTATTCCGCCATACAATATAGTCATCAATTTTAAACGCTTAGAAAAACGCGTTTTATTTTGTGTCACCAGACTAGGTCGAGTTACACTAATCCAGTAACTGTGTTTAAATAGGGAAAACGAGGAAGTGTTTGGTCGATTCTCTTTTTGGCCCATATTTAATGCACTGGGCTAAGCTAAGTGCTAACATAGTTTTGCGGCAATACAGAGCGATAGAGTGCACGCACTGAGACGAGAGAGGTATGCATCAACATGTCTTAGTTAAGGGAATAACATAGTTTAATATGAAAACCCGGTGGAGTATCCCTTTAAAGGCATTTTAATTTTGGCATTTTAATATGCCAAAATTTATCAGCAATGACCAAACATGCGGGATTAAAGGGAGATCTATACAATATAATCTAGCATTAGCAAGAGACATACCTGTACGCACAAGAACGTAAACTATCTCTGGCAATTTTGGGCCTTGACCTCGAAAAGGCCTTTGATAGCATAGACCATCATTATTTACATACATTGCTGAAGCGTTTGGGCTTTGGCTCAACCATTTGTGCATGGATCAGCCTACTGTATGCAGGCTGCCAAAGTAGAGTTTTGGTGAATGGGCATTTGTCAGAGCCATTCGATGTTTGTTCGGGTGTGCGACAGGGTTGTAGCTTGTCTCCATTGTTGTTTGTTTTAGCAATTGAGCCATTGGCCTGTGCTCTTAGACGGAACCCTAGGATTAGGGGTTTTCCAATTCCAGGTGGTTCAGGTAGAGTGGCCAAAGTTTCTCTTTATATGGACGATTTAACACTTTTCCTCACGGATAATAATTCCATAAAAGAAACGCTGGAAACTTGTAACGCTCAGCCTAATTAAGGCAGGATACACCACAAAATATACGGTTTAAACCCTCTATAAATTCTTTAAATGAAATTGTTCTCTTTCCTCACACCATAAACACAACAGCAAACAAGATGTTATAATACCTCAAAGTGTATTAAGTACAAAGCACCAACAATAAACATATACAAACTATGAAATAAGTCCAGTGAGTGTGTGAGTGTTCCAATCCAGTGTAAATGTATGTGTTGAATCGGGCTCACCGGTAAGCCTTTTAAAGTCCGTGCACTTGACGAGGAACAGCGCTGTCCTGTGATGCGATCTCCAGGGTAAAATAATCCACAAGTATATTTCCACAAAGAGTTCAACAATCGCAGTCAATGACAACCCAAGGAGTAGTGCGATCGATCGCTAGTCCCAAAAGAGCAATGTTTACGTTGCTCTCGAACGCCGCTTTCCTGGCTCTTTTAAACGGAAGTAAAAGTCATTAACCCAGCTGATCAGACTGACGTCACGGGGATTCCCTGGAGCTCCGCGACGGAACTCTCGCGGTAAAAACCAGGAACACAATCACATGTCCGGGGCATCAACAGAGAAAGAATAATTATAAAAAACAGCTGTCTGGTAAGCATCATTCAAATACTTCACAGCAATATAAACATTCTTTCCTTATGTGGCTTAGCTACATATTCCCCCCCCCCCCAGCCAGCGGCGTCGGAGGAGAGCGTCCATAATAGCGCTTCAAGTTTACCACATTCAGTATATCGACTCTAGGTGGGTTGCCCCAGCACACAGTGTAATTTATTGGCCCTGTTTTACTTTTAATTTCAGCTGGACCCTCCCACTTGGGCGCTAGCTTGGCAGAAAATTTGTTTGCTGAATTAGAGAGAGGATGGGTTTTGATCCAAACCAGGTCACCCGTATGAAACTGCGCATCTTTCCTACGGTTATTATAATACCTAGCTTGTTTGGCTTGGCTCATCCTCATTCTATTCCTCACTCCCTCCATTAAGTTGTTTTGTCGTTCGACCAGGGAATATGCTGCTTGATCAGGTGAAGGCGGTCGATGGATAAGACGTTCCAGTGGTCCTAGAATTTGTCTACCCAGCATGAGCACAGTAGGAGTTTTTCCTGTGGTTTCTTGTTGAGCAGTGTTGATGGCATAGCGGAATTCTGGTAGCCACTGGTCCCAGTTCTGATGATGTTGACCCACATATGCAGCAATCATAGTTTTTACAGTCCGGTTGATTCTTTCTGTTAGGTTTGACTGTGGATGATAACTCGTGGTGAGTTTCTGAACACAACCCCATGTTTTACACAGATCGCTCAGAAGGCTGGACGTAAATTGGGGACCTCTATCGGACACCAGGTATTTGGGTACCCCCCATCGTGTAAAGATCTCCTCTCGTAGAATTTTCACTACTTTCTGGGTCTTGCTGTCTCTCAGCGGGAACATTTCCACCCACTTTGTGAAGTAATCAACAATGACAAGGAGGTACGTATTCTTTTGTTTACTGGCAGGGAATGGTCCCATTAGATCCACCCCCAAAGTGTGTCCAGGTTCAGTGATCTGTGT